TTCTTGTGCTGATTTCATCTTTCTACTTGATTGCTTCCATGTGGGGTTGACGGCCCCCCTTGGTTATATGTCCGATTTCAGAGTAGGTTGGTCGTTTCGTCTTTCCATTTGATGCTCCTTACTTTGTTTTTTGATTTTTCGTTTGTTCGTATATCTCGTTTTCCTGCCTGATTTGATTATTGTCATTTGGATATGTGAATCTTCACGATTGTTTTTGGTGTATCTGATTTTGGCTTTTTCCATCGGCTAAATATATCAAATTATTAGCTTGAAGACCATGATGAGTAAGTAGTAAGATGGATAAAAAAACTGGGATGATACGAGGTTTCTACTTTCTTCCAAATGGGACGAGAAAGTAAGATATGGTCGTTGACAACGTTATGATAATTTTGTATCATATAATTTCTCCTAAACAACACTTGACATTGTAGTTATCCTTAATTATAACATGGAATGACAACATTTGTTACATTATGATTTTTTTAACCAAATCAGAATCAGAATTTAAACAACGGATATCAAAGATCGTCTAAACAAACAACACTTAGACATAGTAGATTAACCATCATACATGCCTCTAGGTTGCAACTGTGATGCCATTAACTCATATTTTTGTTCACATATGAAGCAGAGGAATGCTTTGTTCATTCCTGAAGAAATTTTCTGGATCGAACATGCCCTTCACTTCTGTCAGCCTCTTGAAATTATCCCTGAAGTACCTCTGCCCCCATACACTCGCCTCCGAGAAGCTCGTCTTCCCGCCCGCTGAGTTCATCCCTATGTCAAGGTCCCTGTAGTTGAGATAAGCCGCCCTAGGGGACTTGGAAACATGAGGCTCCATGTAATCGTAAAGCCTCTTCATCCATTCCAAGTGCCTCTCTTCTTCCTCCTTCCCATTCTTATCCCACTTCACCAGGTACTGAATGTTGTATAAATGCCCTTTCCTGTGCGGGAATGGAGTGTAGGATTCAGGGATCTTGTTCATCTTCCCGCCAAGAGGTTCAAGAATCACAATCGGCACATCTTCCTCCAGCATCATTTTCCATATCCCTTCGAATGCCGATTCCAGTACCGGCTCCGTCACGAAGTCGGTTTTAGCCTTGAACTTGGCCTTGAACATCTGGGTTTTGTCCAGCAATACTTCCGGTGGAACTCCGGGCTTGAATCCGGCGAAATTGAGCACGGAATCGGCCCATGTCCCTTCCGTGCAGTTCTCTGCCTTCAGGCCCAATTCCGGAAAGCTCTTGTTCATCAGAGGGATGACTCTCTCTTTTGTTCCCAGAAACAGAGCCTGGAAATTTGCTTGAACCGTCTTCTTCTTCTTGTCGTCTCCTCCGCCGACGTTGAGAAGCAAAATCCTGACGAACAAATCCTCGTGCACGTCGTGTGCGAATCTCTGCCATTGATGGATCAGCTTGTTCGCGCCTTCCTCCAGCGTCTTGGTAACAGTAAAGTATGTCAATTTCTGAGGAACTCTGACTAGTTTCACCTTCCACGACAGCACAATTCCGAAGCTTCCCGCTCCGCCGCCTCTAATTGCCCAGAAAACCTCTTCCCCCATTGCCTTTCTGTTCAGAATCCTGCCACGAGCATCCATCAGGTAAGCATCGATCACATTATCCGCGGCCAGACCGTACTTTCTGACCAGAGTACCGAACCCGCCACCGCCGAAGTGGCCTCCGACTCCCACCGTGGGGCAGAGTCCCGCCGGGAAAGCGAGATGGGTGCTCTGCCTAGCGATCGCGTAGTAGAGCTCTCCAAGCTGAGCGCCGCTTTGGACCCACGCCATCTCTTCCTTGACATCGACCTGTACTTCGTTGAGATTGAAGAGGTCGATGACGATGTAAGGCTTGTCGCTGAGGTATGAAATGCCTTCGTAATCGTGGCCGCCGCAGCGGGCTCTGATCTCAATCCCCTGTTCCCTGCTACAGAGTACGGCGGATTGGATTTGGGTATCGTCGGAAGGAGTCAGAATGAGGAGCGGCTTGGTGGTGGAGTTAATGTATCTCAGGTTTTGGACTCTTGATTGGAGAAGGAGCGAGAATAGAGAAGATTCAGGGTTGAATATGGTTTGGAACGAGCTCGGGTTGATGTTGTTGTTGGCTATGCATTCAATTAACTTATCAGCGGCAGAACTCGAACTTGCAGGTGAAATCGCAGAGGCGATCAGAACCAAAGAAGACAGGAAGCCAATCAGACTCTTCATATTTAGGTGGCTGATGTTTATGCTTTGCTCTATTTTGTTCACATTTAGGACGAATGTATTTATAGAATGGATTGAGCCGTCCGCCATGGAAGTAGTGGTGGTGGGAATCAGACGAGTTCATTCACCCTGGAAGTGACGTGAAGAATGACAAGCAGTGGTTGGAGTTTATTGGGTTTGGGATATTTTGTGTGACTCTGCTTCTGCCTGCAGGGACGGCGTTTTTTATATTGTAGTTTGTGAGCCGCCGGCAGCTGGTGGAAGGAATGATTCAAGAAGACACAGAGCGTTGGGGGGTTTGTGGACAAACGGCGACGATGTGCAGAGAATGCTATTGGTTTCTCCGACGGAAAATGATTGAATTTTTTTCTTGTTTGTCATGTAGCTGAGTTCCGGCGGAGTGTGATTCTGCACCGTCTCACCATATTCATCTTGGCAGTAAAAGCTGATTGGAGCTTCAACAGACTGAAAATGAAAGTATTAGGAATGATAAGCAAACCCATTAAGCCGTAGGAGTGGGCATTCGGTCGGTTCGGTTCAAATCGAACCGAATAGAGAACTACCGAGATTCCGATTTCAGTCACATGGCAAACCGAGTTGTGTCCGAACTGAATTTTTAGTCGGTTCGGTTCGGTTTTATGCCCAAATCCGAATTTAGTTGCTGTGCAATTTTATTCCTCCGCTTTTAGTGATGCTGGGCAGTAGTAGGCCCCCAAACCCATAGACAAAATGGTTTCCTCTCTGACTCTTTCTCTCCCCCCACGTTTCTTTCTCTCTATCTCTCTCTCTCATGTTTTCCCCTTCTCCACTTTGGCCAATTTCCATTACCAACAAACAGAGAGAAGAAAAATCGTAGAATAGAAAGGGGAGGAAGGAAGATGAAACAAACTACAAACCACTGCCGCCAATCTTTCTGTCTCCTGATGATGCATCCAACGACACGGGCTATGAAGGTAAGTTTCTATTTCGGTTTAATGTCAGTTTGGAGATCTGATTTCACCCGAGGAGAGAGGATTGTGAGGACTGATTCTGACCCTCGCTTCTTTTTCCGATTTTTGTTGAGGTTGAAGCCTTGAAGGGAAAAGAGGTTCGCCATGCTTAGAAAAGGTGGAGGGTGATGGAACCTGGTGCGGAGAGAAAAGATGGGACTCATGGCGGAGAGAAAAACGGCGCGACCTGGTCTCTTTTTCTCATTGGTTGCTCTATGGTGGACGAAGACTAGAGATGAAAGCGGTGCCGTTGGTGGAGACTGCCGAAGATAGAAGAGAATCGGCTGCATTATTAGGGTTTAGAAAGGTTGGGCTGGGCAATCATTTGGTTTTGGGCTGTTAGTTGGGCTATGTAAGTACTAGGCTTGCTTAGTTTGTAGTCTACTTTACTTATTTCGGCTGTTAGTTGGGCTATGTAAGTACTAGGATTTGCCTTCCGAATTCCGAACCGAAACAATGCTATTCGGTTTCGATTCGGTTTTGTTCGGTTGCGGTTCGGTTCGGGTTTACCGAACCGGATGCCCACCCCTACATTAAGGGATGGGATACGGGTGACATCCCTCATTGTTGTGAATTTCGCTACCCACATCTTAATCTTCTATTTCATTCTCTTTCTTCCTATTTTCAAATTAACGGTATAGATTGGATTAAGGATATTTTTGGACGAAAAAATTTACCACATTAAATCATTACCCCTATTAATTACCCAAAACCCTAATTAACTCTATTTCCCCTCTCTCTCTACCGCCATCACCAACAATTCTCTATTCTTCTTCGTCTTTTTCTTCTTCTTCTTCCTCCCATCTCTTCCCCCTCTCTCTTACGCTAACATCGTCAGAGTCATCCCGCCGACCAGTTGAGCCCTCCGCCTCCCACCACCGCATCGCCACAGCCCCGCGCCGCAGCCCTCCCACTGCCTCGTCGTGCCCTCCACCCCCTACCACTGCCGCAACCTTCTCGTCGCAGCCCTCTCGCCGCCCTCCCACCACCGCTGCATCGCCATCCCTCCGACGATGGAGACGTCGCCTCTGCCTCCCACCACCACGCCCACGAGGTCCCTACGCGATGTCACAAACTCCCCCTTTCCTCATCCCTTTTTTTTCATATCTGGTTATTTATTTATTTTAGACTAGTGGTACTGATTTTCATCTTGTAGCGTACCACTAGCATCTGGTAGCTACTAGTGGTACTACCATATGGTAGTGCCCAGATCTTAGTGGTAGCGTACCACTATCGTTTGGTACCACTACCATCTGGTAGGCGCTACTAGTACGCAACCACTGCTCACCGGTACGTACCAATGACTAGTGGTATCGTAACAGTGACTAGTGGTAGCGTACCAGTACTCACTGGTACGATACCTTTGGTAGTTTTTACGTACCACTAGACAAAAATCATTACCATTAGCGCATTGACGGAATGGTATTTTTTTGTAGGTCTGCCGGTCGGAGAAAATCAGCCAGCCGGAGTCAGTGGCTGCTGGAAAAGGAAGAGAGAGAAATATATTTGTGATAGGATTTAAATTTTAAATTACAACAATGTATTTAATATGTGTTTTAATTTTCCAAAATATAATTAATATATAAAGGAAAGTAATTAATAAGATTCTTTTTTCACTACCCAAATTGCCCTTGGTTGTCAAACTCACTACCCAAATATTCGACTGATCCCGATCAAATCAAAGCACGCAAAACATTTGATGGGTATGAATCAGTATGGTTTCAGCCTCCCCGTTTCATACCCATACCCATATCCGTCCCATTACAAGTATTTTTTTAAATATAAAAAAAATAAATGAATCAAATCATAACTTATCAATGATAGCGAGGATAATTCAAGAAAATAAATAGTAAAAATGCAATTGAGTGACCACACAAATTAAAACCCAACTCATTTTCCTCAACTCTTTCTTCATTCTTTCACTTTTTTTCTCGTGTTGACAAGATCATGTTAATTGAACCAAGGAGAGAGGGGTGCAGTTTTCTGTGATTGACAATCCTATTGTTGTCGAGTTGCTCATTCTCCGGGAGGCTATTCTATGGTGTCTGGCGAATGGGTTCATGGAGACAAGGTTCGAAGGAGACGCCAAAGTGGTTATTGATAAAATCAATCAGGCTGATTCTCGCGATAATCGAATATGAACCACCATTGAGGAGGTCCTGGGTTATTTGGCAATTCACAATGGGTGATAACGAAGTAATTGCACATGTTTGCGCCCCTAGTTCTTATCCGTTTGAGGGGCATATTCGTGTGTTGTGGCCTATTTTATGCTAGGTTGTGTTCCTTTGTCCCATTTCAGGTCCTAGCACATAAAGTGAAGCATAGGCGCAAGTTTCAAGTCAATCAGAGATCAATTGACGATTCGAGAGAGGAAACTCGGGCATGACCTGAAGAAGAATGAATTTCTACCTCACTTTATGGACAAAGAAGCATGCAAGCTTGTTATGAAACGAAAGAGGATGAGACTACGAGCGTCTGGGATCAAACGGCGACTGATTCGGAGTACGGACGAGGGAGAAACGAAGCATTAAACAGAGGCTGAGCAAGCTGCACGGGCAGACCAGGGAGGCTGCACGGCCGTGCACGTGAGCAATATGGCCGTGCGCCTTATGCCGAGGACACGCACGGGCAACCCCTGAAGCTCGCACGGCCGTGCACCCTGGCCGTGCGAGAGGGCTGAAGTTCGACTAAATGACACGCTGCGTTTTGAGTTGCACGGCCAGAATGGTGATATGCACGGCCGTGCACCCTGGCCGTGCGAGTCGGGAAATCTGGTTTTAAGCCAAATTCCGAACCAAAGGAGAGAGAGCTGGCTTTTGGATCCCAAACACCCAAGGGACGTACCAAAGAGAGAGAGGGCGATTTGAGGGCATTCTTGGAGTGGAGTTGGAGGATTTCTTCGCCTTGGAAGCTCGAGGAACAAGCCCGGACTTGAAGACTGATCATCTGAAGATTCTTACTGCAGTCTCTCTCTTCTCTATGGAGTAACTTCCCTTCACTTAGGTTTTGAGGAACCGTAGCTATATTTGTTTGATTGGATGATTGTATGAGTACTCTGACTTGATAATCTTGAGTTCATATTCAATCTATGCATGTTTTCATGATTCAATTCTGCTTTAGTCGAGATTATTGATTCTGCTTTGATCCTATGAGAGGGAATACCTGATTAGGTCAATAGAGCACCATAGATTGATAGTAGTGGATCGATTGCTTTAGTCGAGGGTTGATTCACTGCTTTGTATCGATTGAGAACCTCTTTCGATAGAGGGAGTCTAGTTCAGAACGCCTTGATCAGTTGTTCTAGAGAAGGATACGTCCCTCTAGGCAATTGACTCAAGAGGGCCTTGTTCCTTTAGTCGAGACTCAAGGTCTAGTCAAGGATTCTCCGCATTGTGAATGAAAGTGAAACAGGTTAGAGATCATCAATCATTAATCTGGCTAGTGGCTAGGGGGAATCATACCTAAGTGAGTTCCCAACCTGTAATTAGATTAACTTTAACTGTAGTTTGCTAGAGTAGTTTTAGTTCTTTCGTCTTAATCTGATTTGCTAAATAATAAACTGAAGCTGAGTAATAGTAACTCTAGAGACCCGTGGATTCGATATTTATCACTTGAGCCACTATACTGCAGTCCCTTCCATTGGTTACACTTGGCCATTGTTAGGTGTTGTGTTTTAGAGCATCAAGTTTTTGGCGCCGTTGCCGGGGACTTTCTAGAGTATTAGGAAAGGCAGAAGTTTGTTACTTTAGCGTTTTTCGTTTCTTTTCTTTTCCACCCTTGCTTTTCACTTGGGTGTTTTTGTTTTTGTTGGTGCAGATCTGAATCATGGATCCTCATGGCTTCTCCAATCATTGGGGGTATCCACCACCATCTGGGTGGTATTACCCCGAGACTCCCTGGAGCAATCAAGGCGGAGAAGACTATGGATTCGGGTTCCAGTACCAACCCCCTTACTACGGAGAACAACCGGACCCCTGGGCATATCAAGAACAACCTCATTACCAAGAAGAATTTCTCCCACAACCAGAAGGGCCATTGGAGCTGGAGTTACCCATGGCGGCCTTCACGAGCCATTCTGCAGAGCCATGCTACACTCCACAGCCAGATCCACACTATGATTTGAGGCTTCTCATGGAGAGATCATGCTCCAGTATGGATCATTGTGTCCAGGCCTATCGTGAAACAGAGGGGATCCTCCTGAGCCTTAAGAAGAGCGTCGATGATCTTGAGCGATCTTGGGCGCAACCTGCTCCAGATCACCCTTCTGCTACCATACAAGAAGATGAGGAGGAAGAAGAAGGCTACAAGGACATTGTGGAGCACACTGAAGTTGTCACGGAGAGCTCCCGTGATGATCATGATCAGGAGTGTCCTGTCGTAGCCGACCAAACCTTCCCACACCCCAAACTGAGCTTTGAAGAGGCGAGCATGAGTGAGGAGATGCAAGAAGATCTCATGAAAGAAATTGCTTGGCAACTTGCTCTCCAATCCGTGCTAGAAGAAGAAGAGCAAGAAAGGGTGCAGAAAGAAGTTGTGGAGGATGACGAAAGTGAAGCAGGAGGAGTTCTTGATCATTTCCCAGGGGTGATTCCACATGAAGAAGGAAGGGAGGTTGAAGAAGCAATTGGCGTCCAGGCTGAGGACGGAGTTAAGGTGGAAGAGGCCTGCACTGGCCATGAGTTACATGTGATATCTCCACCAAACCTCGAGGAACTGCTTAGCAAGGACCCATTTGCAGTGTCTCTTTGCCAGACCAAGGCCACCTCGACATCGGTCCCTCTTGGTGGACGCGATGGTGGCCAATCGATGTTGTCATATCTGGTTTGGGGCAATGAGACGAGAGAAGAGAAGAAGAGGTCTCGAGGGTGGAGACTTCATCTGCATCAAGTACATGAGCCTTCATCACCTGCCACACCACATGCTCATGACTTGAGACTCCACCTCATCGACGAGAACCTCAACTTCAAGGAGGTTCTAGCATGGACCGAAACTTAGGAGCCATCGTCCGGCTCACGACGTGAAAGAAGCGCTTGTTGGGAGGCAACCCAACCAGTCGGTTTGCATTTCTTTCTCTATTTCTCTTCGGTTGAGTCAGTTATGTTCTTTGATTTTAGAGTCAATAACTCAACCTTTGTGAGATTTTGTGTGGTGTTTGTGTTCTGATTACTCTCTCTTCCTGGAATGCACTGCCTGACCCGTACATCATCATTCACCCTTGATCTGGTAACTTCGTTCTACCCCCCTTATCTTTCCTCCATTGAGGACAATGTCGTGCTTAAGTGTGGGGGGGGGGTGTTTGATTATGTATGCGGGTGAATGTTTGGCTGTTTGTGTGCTTGGAGCCTAGTCCACTGTCCAAATTTTTAAATTTGAGGGCTCCAAGTACGTGTTCCATGCAATTGCCTGCTCAGTATGCTTTGAATTGACAGTCTTTACAGTAATATGCAACCTAGGGAGGTAGTGTAGCACTATGGAGGATGTTGATGCATTTAAGAAGTCTCATTTCTTCTTCATATAAAGTTGGTTGATTGAGTGAATTAGTGATCTTAGGACCCTTGAATTGTGTGGTGTTGTGGATTTTCTACCTGTCATGGACTCTTGTATCATGTTTTGAAAATAACAGGTGCTCGAAAATGTGCTTCAAAATAAACGTCTCCCGTGCGAATAGGGCGAAAGTGTGTAAGGGGAGACGGGAATCCGTTCCCAATTTCCACCTACTACCTCCAGCCCCCTTACATGTCTTTCCCCCGCACGAGGCTCGAGACATCCGCTCCTGGCATGGCCGGTAAGAGCAGGTTGGGACCCTTGAAAAGAAAAAAAGAAAAGAAAAATAACAGAAAACAAGCAAAACAGAAAAAAGGGGTTCCAACCATCTTCAAAGAAAATCGAGCACCTTGAAAAATGTGAGTCCATGATCTTTTGTTTTTGAGAATCTCTTCATCCACAATTCATTTGTCCTCTGTTCACTGTTTGCCATGATGCCGACTGACCGAAGAAGCTATGAGATGACTTGTGCGTCGGTTGACCTCGTAAGCTGCTAAATGATCTAGGAAGTCCTCTACCTACGATCTAGGTTGTTTTTTTCTATAGAGGTCTGGAGAGTTGCATTGGTTTGAGTTAGGTTTGCTTGGGGACAAGCAAACGGTTAAGTGTGGGGGAGTTTGATAACGATGTAATTGCACATGTTTGCGCCCCTAGTTCTTATCTGTTTGAGGGGCATATTCGTGTGTTGTGGCCTATTTTATGCTAGGTTGTGTTCCTTTGTCCCATTTCAGGTCCTAGCACATAAAGTGAAGCATAGGCGCAAGTTTCAAGTCAATCAGAGATCAATTGACGATTCGAGAGAGGAAACTCGGGCATGACCTGAAGAAGAATGGATTTCTACCTCACTTTATGGACAAAGAAGCATGCAAGCTTGTTATGAAACGAAAGAGGACGAGACTACGAGCGTCTGGGATCAAACGGCGACTGATTCGGAGTCCGGACGAGGGAGAAACGAAGCATTAAACAGAGGCTGAGCAAGCTGCACGGGCAGACCAGGGAGGCTGCACGGCCGTGCACGTGAGCAATATGGCCGTGCGCCTTATGCCGAGGACACGCACGGGCAACCCCTGAAGCTCGCACGGCCGTGCACCCTGGCCGTGCGAGAGGGCTGAAGTTCGACTAAATGACACGCTGCGTTTTGAGTTGCACGGCCAGAATGGTGATATGCACGGCCGTGCACCCTGGCCGTGCGAGTCGGGAAATCTGGTTTTAAGCCAAATTCCGAACCAAAGGAGAGAGAGAGCTGGGTTTTGGATCCCAAACACCCAAGGGACGAACCAAAGAGAGAGAGGGCGATTTGAGGGCATTCTTGGAGTGGAGTTGGAGGATTTCTTCGCCTTGGAAGCTCGAGGAACAAGCCCGGACTTGAAGACTGATCATCTGAAGATTCTTACTGCAGTCTCTTTCTTCTCTATGGAGTAACTTCCCTTCACTTAGGTTTTGAGGAACCGTAGCTATGTTTGTTTGATTGGATGATTGTATGAGTACTCTGACTTGATAATCTTGAGTTCATATTCAATCTATGCATGTTTTCATGATTCAATTCTGCTTTAGTCGAGATTATTGATTCTGCTTTGATCCTATGAGAGGGAATACCTGATTAGGTCAATAGAGCACCATAGATTGATAGTAGTGGATGGATTGCTTTAGTCGAGGGTTGATTCACTGCTTTGTATCGATTGAGAACCTCTTTCGATAGAGGGAGTCTGGTTCAGAACGCCTTGATCAGTTGTTCTAGAGAAGGATACGTCCCTCTAGGCAATTGACTCAAGAGGGCCTTGTTCCTTTAGTCGAGACTCAAGGTCTAGTCAAGGATTCTCCGCATTGTGAATGAAAGTGAAACAGGTTAGAGATCATCAATCATTAATCTGGCTAGTGGCTAGGGGGAATCATACCTAAGTGAGTTCCCAACCTGTAATTAGATTAACTTTAACTGTAGTTTGCTAGAGTAGTTTTAGTTCTTTCGTCTTAATCTGATTTGCTAAATAATAAACTGAAGCTGAGTAATAGTAACTCTAGAGACCCGTGGATTCGATATTTATCACTTGAGCCACTATACTGCAGTCCCTTCCATTGGTTACACTTGGCCATTGTTAGGTGTTGTGTTTTAGCGAGTCAATGGGCTTATTGTGCGATTTGTAGGTCAGAGTAGTTATAGGGTAGCCCATTTGGTGGCTAGAAAGACCCTTTCATTCTACGTGACTACGTGTCGCTTATTCGATTTTCCGATCTGGTTAAATTCCAGGATACAATGATCTTTTTTCTAATCAATATAATGATTATCTTTTGCCCAAAAACAACAAGATTATGTTTTTTTTATAATGGTGAATTGCAATAAACCAAAAACAAGGGAAGTTCAACAAACAAAACAGAAAAGGACAGCGACAGAGGTTCACAAAGGTTGAACCTCCCCAAACAACAAGATTATGTTAATTAGTTATTATTTAGTAGATGTATCAGAGTTAGAGTTTAATGGTTTGGATTACATTATACTATATCTTATGTATCAGAGTTAGAGTTTAATGGGTTGGATTACATTATACTATATCTTATGTATTTGTGGACATTTTAGGATAAAATGGTTTGAATCGTATTAAGAATGCTTGTATCTCGATTTCATGATATAGTACGTGTATTTAGTGTTATAATTGAAAATTACGTGTAATATTTTAGGTATTATAATGTTTAACGTACCGGCTGGGTATTACTCATGAATACCTGAAACCCAATGATACAGGGATGAGTTGCAAAACTTTCCACTATATGAGTATATGAGACAATTATGAATTTGAATATTTGAAAACAGAAATATAAATGATGTAGATAAACTCACACCATTACCATCCTAATATCCTCCCGCCAAAATAGAAGTATCTTTTTCTTTACACTTTTCGGGACACAATTAATGGTCAATATGAAACCGTTGAAATTGAGAAAATGTCAGGAAAGGCAGCGTGCAGCGGGGAACAGCCCAGCACCACCATGAGAAGTGAATATTTTTTTTTTTTTTTATAATGGTGAACTTGAATTAAAAAGAAAGGAAAGGAAGTACAGCGAGAACAAACAAAGGCCAGCAGTCACAAGGAATGACTGGAAAGGGCCAAAAGGTCTGGAAGGAGCCAAAAGGAAGAAGAAGAAAAAACAGAGGCAGCCAAAACATCAAAATAAAGAAAATACACCATCAGGCAGCGTAGCAACACGAAACGCAGCCACAAGCAGAAGACTAAAAAGAGAGGCCAAACGGCCCAGCCAAAAAACCACCGTCCATCCTCTTTCCTTTCCCACCCATTATTCCATTTTACCCACAAGCAGTATGGTGTCAACAATGCTTGAAAGTAGGCAAATGAGAAAAGTCATGCATGCAATGGCAATTCAATTCTATATAGATTATCAAAAGTCAGCTCGCTATCGCTTCGTGTATAGAAAAAATAAATATTTTAAAGATTAATAGTTTTAATGTTGACCCAAAAGTGAAGGTAATCTTATTTCATTCTTGATCAATTTTTTTTATAGGTTTGTTATTTACAATAACATATGACCGATGAACTTGCATAAGGTAGATGGGTCGTCGAATAGATTATTTATGTTTAAACTTCTTTCATGATGCTAATATTTCAATTTGTATGGCTAGTAGTAGATCCTGGTGTAACTTTTGCAGCTTTTCTGAATCTTTTCAAGAAATATTTAAAAAGAAACTGTTGAGTGTTTATTTGAAAACTATCATAATTACTTTCTAATATAAGAGGTAATGAAAAATGTCTAAAAAATATTTCTAACATAAAATATGAATACAAATTCTAAAAAGTAAAAAAATTATTTAAAATGGATTATTTCATATTAAATACAATTTTCAGTTTATTTTTTTTATAATGATATATATGAAATAAAATTATGTTTTCTAGAAAAAGATTAATATATGGTAAGTACAATTTTGTATTTTCAAATCGGAGCTTCTGCTTTTAAGTTATGAAAAAATTTTAGTTTTTTAAAAAGCGAAACTTTAGAGGTATTTGGATTGGCTTCAATTTTTGAAATATAAAACTTCTAAAATTCTTGCCAAACATAGTAGTTCTTTTTTTTTTGGGTTGAATATAAGAGGTAATAAAAAATGACTAAAAAAAATTTATAACATAAAATATGAATACAAATTTTAAAAAATAAAAAAAATTATTTAAAAGTGATCACGCTAGATTTATTTTATATTAAATGATACTATTTCAATTTATTTTTTTATAATGATATATATGAAAGAAAATTATATTTTCTAGAAAAAGAATATTATATGGTAAGTACAATTTTGTATTTTCAAATCGAAACTTCTGCTTTTAAGTAAAGAAATACTTTGAAAAATCGAAACTTTAGAGGTGTTTGGTTGGCTTCAATTTTTGAAAAAGTAAAACTTATAAAATTTTGGCCAAGCATAGTCGTTCTTTTTTTTTTGTTTGAGGTAATCGTGATTCTCCTTTATGAAAATTGTGGACTGATTGCAGGTTTGAAAATGTTCAACTCGCATTGATCGAGCCAAATTAGGTAGGATACCCATGGATTTGGGTTCAATTATCTTTCTAAAAATAAGGAAAAAGCAAAATGAAATCACTAAAGCTGAAACTCGCTACCGACTCAAAACTCGTCAACACCAGGTTCAACTCGCTTTGACCTTGTTGGAACAATTTTCGGGCAAATTTACACCTGGCACAGAAAACAAAAAAAACTCAGTCCCGCCGAAAACTTGTAAAATCGGGTTTAAATTGCTTTAGTCGGGTCAAATTAGGTTGTATACCCATGAGTTTGGACTCAATTGTCATTCTCAGCCAAAAGGAAAAATATAAAAAAAATACTAAAGCGGATAAAACTCGCTCATGACCCCAAACTCTCAAAACTGCGTTCAACTCGCTTTGGTCGAGTCGACCCAGTTTTAACAAATTCGCAATTTACCCAACATGTCCGTTACAAAAGTGAATAAAAATCGCTCTCGATACTAAACGATAATTTAAATTGTCATTCTCAACGAAAAGGAAAATGAGAAATAAAAAAACATTAAAGCGTACAAAACTCGCTTTCGATCTAAAACTGGTCAACGTGTTCGATCAACTCGCTTTGAACAATTTTTTAATAAATTAACACTTGGTCCAACCTGTCAACTACAAAAGTGGATAAAGCTTGCTCACAAGTCACAATACAACACTCGTCAAAACCTTAGATTCTGGTTCAATTGTCTTCCTAACCAAAATGAAAAAAGGAGAAATTTATAAATGCTAAAGTCGATTTCAAGTTGCTTTGATAGGATCGAATTAGGTTGGATTCCAATGGATGTGGTTCAATTGTGATCATGCTCAACAAAAAGGAAAAAGTGAAAGAAAAAAACACTAAAGAAAATGAAACTCGGCCCCGATACAAAACTCGTCAACATTGAGTAGATATGGTATGAATTTTCGGTAGCGACATTGGGTTCAATTGTGATCATACTCAACAAAATGGAAAAATAGAAAGAAAAAAACACTAACAATGATGAAATTCAGTCCCAATACAAAACTCATGGTAGCGGCCTTGTGAAACGATGGTGGGGAACAACTTATGATTACGCCGACAGTTTTTCAAGATGAGCTGCAAAATGGTGGGCAAGTCGATGATGTTTTTTCAAGTTAGGATACCCATGTGTTTGGGTTCAATTATGATCATGCTCAACCAAAAGGGAAAAAAAGAAAGAAAAAAAAAATACTAAAGAAGATGAAACTCGGTCCCGATACAAAACTCATGGTAGCGGCCTTGGAAACTGTGGTCAGGAAAAACTTAGGATTCCGCCGACATAATTTCTTGATGGGCTGCAAAATGGTGGGCAAAGGCGATGATTTGTGCAAAAAGTCATAAAAGAAAACCTAGCGAACAATAACTAAACACGAGGCGATGATTTGTGCGAAATGCCATAGACGAAAACCTAGCGAACAATAACAAAACACAAAGGCGATGATTTGTGCAAAAAAACCATAGACGAAAACCTAGCGAACAATAACTAAACACGAAGGCGATGATTTGTGCGAAAAGCCATAGACGAAAATCTAGCAAACAATAACTAAACACAAAGGTTGTAGAATGGAGAGTGGGGTAAAAGAAAGACTTAGAACTTCACCAATTGCACTT